TTTATGTCAGAACTGGTACCCATCCCTACATATGTGTGCAGCGAGCAGGAGGCCAGGGAGGATAAAACTCACCAGATCGACCACCAGTGTTCCCTCTGGGGTGCTTCTGGTCTTCGGGGGAATATCTAGAAGAGCAGGTCTAGAATGCTGGGACCGCGACGGCATGTTCTTGATGAACGTAAAGCTGCAGATGAAAATGATGCTCAGCAACAGAAACTTTCAAACAAAACTTTGTGTCGTTTCTCAAATAGCTAAGTTACCAAACCCATATCCACTGCCGGAGGTTTCTTCCTGTTAAAAGGGAGTTTTTCCTTCCCACTGTCACCAAAATGCTTGCTCATAGGGGGTCATATGATTGTTGTGTTTTTCTCTGTATCTATTATTGTACGATCTACTGTACAATATAAAGCGCCTGGAGGTGACTGTTGTTGTAATTTGGCGCTATATAAATAAAATTGAATTGCCGACATGATGTTACTGAAGAACTAGAAAAAGATATTTTGGGATTTTGTAAACTGATTTTGAATACTTCCTTTAAAATAATGTATGAGATGAAGTTACATCATGGTCTTCTCCTGTGACTGTATGTAGAAAAACAACTTACGGATCAAAGATGTCATCGTCCTCGTCTCCACCCAGAAGGTCAATGGAGCCACAACCGAACACACCGTGTTCTGGGCTCATCAGTACACTGGTCCCCGTTCCTGCGTACTTCAAATCTGAATAGAAAACACACACACACACAGACTGTAAGTACCAAGTCTGACTTTATGACATCACATAAGACTTATATAGTTGACTCCCGACCAAGTAGTTTAAGCAGGTCAGCTTGTTCAAGGTGGAGTTTATCACATGGATCACAAAGCTGCATTCAGTTGTATGGTGATGTCTCTCAATGAGAGACTTTTGTTACATGTAAACAAGTTTCAAATGGATGACTGGTACTCACTTTCTTTGCTGGGTGTGAGGAAACGCACAATGGGTGAGTAGATGTTTCTAGCTGTTGTCGCGTTACGCGGAGTCACAGGGTCGATCTCTGACAGTATGCGCTCGTGGTGCATGATGGGACGGACTGGAGTCTTGAAGGTCAAATCTAGACAGTAAAATGAGAGTCATTCAGAAAACGATAAGCATTTCAACTAACAGGTAGTGTAACTGTGCTTTAAAGCAGAATCAGCCGATGGCGCTAAAATACCTGATTCTTGGTCATTCACAGCAATAGCCCTCTTTCTCGCCCGGCCACGAGGCAGCGGTCGCCTCACCATAGTGGGAACTTCATCCTCTGAGTCTTTATTCACAGTCTCTTCATCCTACACAATAAAAACAAGAAGAAGAAGAAAAAAAACAAAACACCTTCATTATTACCCCTAAAGGTCCATTTAAAACAGCGTAATAGTGCATTACTTCAGGATGTCTCAATCAGGGCCACGACTGAGAACAGGAAGGCCTGCTGACCTCTGGTCAGCACTTCAGGTCAATCAGGTCCTACACCTCACAAACACCATCCCCCCACCAATCTGTGCCACGGTCTGAGTAATCCCCATCACTCAGGCCTCACATACAGATATACTCAGACCAACCCCTTTGCACTGCTTTCAAGCACTTTGTTCTTCAATGTGTCCCCTTCTCTTGTTTTGCTGACATGCCTCTAGCTTGTATGTGTGTGTGTGTGTGTGTGTGTGTGTGTGTATATATATTCATTCCAATTACTCCAATTACTTCCACGGGAACACCTAGGCATGCAGATTGTTTCAACAAACGCATAGTGCACAGAGGTCGCTAATTTTCAGCAGAGTCAATCATTACAGACCTCCAAACTGTGGAATTTACATTAGTTCAAAAACAGCGTGTAGAGAGCTCCATAGAATGGGTTTCCATG